TTGAAGTTAAGAATTGAGCTTTGTAAGCAGCTTATTTTAAAAGTGAAGAGGAACAAAAACAAATGTTTGCTATTTGGGACTGGCCTGGAAAGTAATGTAATTTACTTACTGATCAAAGGACACTGTAGGCCGTTGAGTGCTTATATTCTTGGGGATGGCAACTGATTCGTTATTGAGTTGGTCAATCAAGGGAACACTAATGTTTACCAACCAATCACAGGGAACATTGATGGAAAAGAGAAAAACAAGAGAGAATGGTGATGTTGGAAGCTTCCATATACTGTGCTTCTTTTTGTTTTGCTCTGTCTCTGGTTTCTGTCTAGTTATAAAATTGTTGAATGTTCTGAAGAAAGAATTCTAGTTTGAAAGAATTAAGTAAATATTTCTAGAAGTATGCTGAAACTGTTTGAATTAACTAGTGATTTCAGATTTCGAACAATATATACAGTTCAACTTGTCTGTGAATAATCCCTTTTCCAAGGATTTCATGAAGGCCTGGTAGCCATCATTTGAAACTGTTTATTGAGCTGCTAAATTGCAATTTTTAAAATTTCTTTCCAATTTGCCCTCATTCCCTCTCATTCATACACGTATTTGACGCATTATGTAATGGCAAAAATTATCTGAACTTCTTTCTCTGTCTGTGCGTATTCATCACATGCTTAGTTGGATTAGTGACAGGAAAAAGAGGACCGTGATAGAACATAGAACATTACAGCGCAGTACAGGCCCTTCGGCCCTTGATGTTGCACCAACCCGTGAAACTAATCTGAAGCCCATCTAACCTAAACTATTACATTATCATCCATATGTTTATCCAATGACCATTTAAATGCCCTTAAAGTTGGCAAGTCTATTACTTTTGCAGGCAGGAAATTCCACGCCCTTACTACTCTCTGAGTAAAGAACCTACCTCTGACATCTGTCCTATATCTATCACCCCTCAATTTAAAGCTATGTGATAGCAAGTTTTTTTGTGTGACTAAGACCCATTTTGCAGCGGCATACTGCGGGGATCAGTGCTGGGTCCCTTATTGTTGGTAATATTCATAAGTGATGTAGAGTTTTGGGGGCACGGTGCTAAATAAATTTGCAGATACCACAAAGATTGGCTGGGTAGTTGATGGTGAAGAAGATGTTAGGGTACAGGAGAATGTAAAAGGATTGGTCAGATGAGCAGATTAGTGGGGATTAGAATTTAACCCTGATAAATATGAAGTGATGCACTTTGGATTAAGGACCAGGGAGTACTCAATAAATGGCAGGACTCTAGGAAGCATGGAGGAACAGAGATCTTGGGGTGCTTGGCAACAGAAGGTACAGAAGAAGTTAATATTTTGCTTAAGAAGTACACTGGCCTTTATCAGTCAAGGCATGGATTATAAGAGCAAGGAGATTATGTTGGAGCTGTACAGAATTTTGTCTAGACCACAGCTGGATTACTGTATGCAGTTCTGGTCATTACACTATAGGGAGAACGTGATTGCATTGAGACTGAGTCATGGGGAGAGGTTGAATAGGCTGGTACCTTGTTCACTGAAGTGTAGGAGGTTGACCTTTATAGAATAGAGTCCCTACAGTGGGGAAGCAGGCCATTTGGCCTATCGAATACACACTGCACATCTGTAGAGCATCCCACCCAGACCCCTACCCTATGCCTGTAACCCTACATTTTTCCCCTTGGCTAATCCACTTAGCCTACACATCCCTGGACACTATGGGCAATTTACCATGGCCAATCCATCTAACCTGCACATCTTTGGAATGTGGGAAGAAACAGACACGGGGAGAATGTGCAAAAACTCCACACAGACACTTGCCCAAAGCTAGGATCGAACCCAGGCCCTTGGTGCTGTGAGGCATCAGAGCTAACCACTAAGACACCATAGAACATAGAACAGTACAGCACAGTACAGGCCCTTCGGCCCACGATGTTGTGCCGAACTTTCACCCTAAACCTAAGGCCTATCTAACCTCTGCCGCTACCTTATACTATCATCCATATTCCTACCTAATAGCCGCTTAAATGCCCCTAATGAGGCCGACTCCACTACCCTCTCTGGCAATGCATTCCACGCCCCTCAGATGTTTATTGTGGTTTATAAAATCATGAGGGGCATGAATAAGGTGAATAGCATGGATCGATTCCCTGGAATGGGGGTATTTTTAAGGTGAGAGGAGATAGACTAAAATAAGGCATCGGGGCTTTTATTTTGCATAGAGAGAGGTACATGTGTGGAATAAACTTCCAGAGGAAGCGATGGATGCAGGTACAGTTACAATATTTAAAAGACATTTAGGTAAGTGCATGAATAAGAAATGTTTGGAAGAATATGGGCCAAGAGCAGGCAGGTGGGACTAGTTTAGTTGGGATTATGGTCGGCATGGTTGGACTGAAAGGTCTGTTTCCCTGCTGTATGGCTCTATGACTCAATCTAAACCATACACCAGTCTGCCTCTAATGGTATCATTTAAGTGTCTCCAAATTCATAGAATTCTGCTGATGTCTTTAAAATTGAAATGAATTGGGACCTTGCTCATCACCATCGTCCTAATTGCGTCTGTGGATTCTGAACCTTCAGCAAATGCCATTGGTTTCAGTGAAAGAAATGGTACCTTATTACCATTCATTCATAAGTTTTGGAACCTTGCTTCTCTGACCGTCCCATATTCCCCAGAAGATTAAAATCTATGCCTTTTCCATTGAGGGAATTCTGAGCAAGGGTCACACCAACTGAAACGTTACTTTTTCACCACAGATGCTGTCATAGCTGCCAGGCTTTTCCAGCATTTTCTGCTTTTTGTTTCTGATTTACAGCATTCGCAGTTCTCTCAGTTTCCATTCTAAACTAATCTAGTTTGCCTGCACATGATCCATAAAACTCCCTGTTTCCTATCTGTCTAAATGGCTCTAAATGCTATCGTATCTGTATGTACCACTTCCTCGGCAGCATGTTCCAAGCACCTGCCACCCTCTGTGTAAAAAGAACTCGTCCACACGTCCTTTAAACATTTCCTCTCGTACCTTAAACCTATTCCCCTAGTATTTGACATTTTCACCTTAGATGGAGTCATAGAGTCATACAGCAGGGAAACAGACCTTTCGGTCCAACCATGCTGACCATAATCCCAAACTAAACCTGCACTTGGCCCATATTCTTCCAAACATTTCTTATTCATGCACTCATCTAAATGTCTTTTAAATGTTGTAACTGTACCCGCATCCACCAGTTCCTCTAGAAGTTCATTCCAAGCATGGACCTCTCTCTGTGCAAAAAAAAAAGGCCCCATGTCTTATTTTAGTCTATCTCACCTTGGGAGAAAATATTCTATCATGTTATATAATTCTATCATGTTATATACTTCTATCAGCTCACTCCCTCAGCCTCTGACGCTCTAGAGAAAACAATCCAAGTCTGTCCAACTTCTCTATATAGCTGATACACTCCAATCCAGGCAACATCCTGGTTAAACTATTCTGCACCCATTCCAAAACCTCCAGTCCTTCCTACAGTGTGGCAACTGCAACTGGATACAATAATCCAGATGCAGCTGAACTGATGTTTTGAACAGGCGCAAAATGATTTGCCAACTTTTAGACTCAATGCCCCAAAAGATGAAGGCAATAGTGCATTATACCTTCTTTACTACCTTATTCCATTTCAGGGAACTATGGACTTGTACCTCAAGATTCCTCTGTATGTCAATGCTCCTAAGGGTCCTGCCATTTACGGTATAGCTTTTGTGTCATATTAGTTCACTCCTCTTGGGATCTGGGGATGATGGCAATGGTTTGTAAATGTAACGCATCTCGTTAAAAAGCAGGAATACAGAAAGGTAACTGCAGGTCTTTCTGCCAAACAAAAATGTTGGGGAACACAATATAATTGGAGATATACTTCTAATGAGGAAGAACATGGTTCACTGTTCCATGTGGATCAAGTGAATCATGTGATTAACAGTAAACAGGTTAAAACAGCATGCAAATATTTGGCAGGTGGAGTATAATGTGGACAAGTATAAACACTTCCACCTTGGCAAAGAGAGCTGAAAGACAAAATAAAAACAGAGAGATTAGAGAACTTGGAAACACAAAGGGATCTGTGGGTCTTGATACATAGATTCATACTCTGCAGAAACAGATTATGTGTGACAGGTGAAGCAAGTGAGTGGAATATTAAAAGGGGTGGGGTGCAGTATAGAGATAGGGACTTTTTACCACAGCCACAGGGGTCCTGGTTGAGAGGTGACCTTATTGAAGTTTATAAAATCAAGGAGGATCTAGAAAGTAAATGGTAAGTGTCTTTCCACTAGGATGGGAGTGTTCAAGACCAGGGGGCACATTTTAAGGTGAGAGGAGAGAGATCTAAAAAAACGACACAAGGTGCAATTTTTTTTTACACAATGTCTGTAATGAACTTCCTGAGGAAGTGACAGATGTGGGCACAATTGCAACGTTTAAAAGACATTTGGATAAGTACACGAACAGGAAAGGTTTGAAGGGATACAGAACAGGAGCAGGAGGTGGAACTAGTTTAGTTTGGGATTATGTGCGTCATGGGCAGGTTGGACCCAAGGGTCTGTTTCCGTGATGTACGACTCTATGAATGTGCAGAAAGGGTGATTTTAGAAAGGGAGATAAATGGGTTGGAAGCGGCCCAGGACAGGCTCATTCGATTCATTTCTGGGAAGAAAAGATTCTCTGATGGAGAAGGATGGACCAGGATGATCCTTTGCCCATGGGGATTTAGCAGAATGAGAGATTTCCTTTGTGAAATATACAAGATTCTGAGGCCATCCCCTGGGCTCCCCCTCTTATACAAACCATCCAATCAGCGCTGCAAACCAACGTTCCCTTTTATGTTGACGTTTCCCCAGGCAACCGGATCCCTTTGTCCTCACCGACCAATCGGAGCTCGAATTGGCTTCGGTATAAATAGCGCGGGCGCAGTGAAAGAGACGCAACAGATTTCAAGGAGCCGCCAGGATCACAGGGGATCATGGTGAGTGCGCACCCTACGGCGGAGAATGGGGGTGTGGAGCCCTCGGGATTAGCGGAACTAGAGGGAGACAACGGGATGTGCAGGAGCACAGTGGGTGATCCAGGGGAGGTGTCAGCATTATGTTTGAGGGAACCGGAGATCCACCGGGAGACTCAGTAATCCCCATGGAGAGGAAGAGATTCACCGTGCAAAGGATGAATTCCATGGGGGGTGATTCGAGGCTTTAAAAGGGAAGGGGAAATCACAGAATGCCGTCGTCTGGATGTGTCTTGCCCGGGACCTGGCAGCTTCTCCATGCGCAGGGGGTCTGGCGTAATGAAAGATCAATGGGGAATCAATAGGATCCACATGATTCAGCTGTCTGATGTTGTTAGTGTTACCTCCTTCGCCCATCTCCAACATTAATGGAGAAAATATCGCTCTCAGTCCTGTGGGAATAACGACCTGTCCTTCCCTCTTTAGCGAGAGTGCCTTTCACTTCACGTTGGCCAAGCCGGTGTGCAGATCGGCAACGCTTGCTGGGAGCTGTATTGCCTGGAGCATGGGATCCAGCCGGATGGGCA